ACAAATAGTCCAAATACATCGCCATTCTAAGATTAGCGCCCGCAACCGGAACATATTTTTTCGTTGTCTTCGCCAACACCGCCTCCGTATAGGGTATCGCGTACAACACACCTAGTTTAAAGGTCGGTGATTCTTAAAATGAGTTTTCAGTGGAAGCGTTGCATTGTTGCGAAATAGTGGTAGCTCGTACGTTTATTTGTTGTTGATATGTTCACCCAGTTTTGCAACTTGTTCGCAAACGTTTCATCGCCAATCGGCGAGAAGTCTTTAGACAAGGTTAGGTATACTATATACTACAAGCAAATTTGCCTATAAAAAAATCCTTGTTGTTGAACACCTTCACGGAAAACCGTGTGCAAGGGCTATCAATATAGAGCGAAATCACGAACGAAAGACATTTTTCACAGAGGTAGTGGTAATTCCTACAGCCGGAGTGCACAAATATGTGAGGGACCGACAGGACTGTAGGGGATACCGACGGAATGAAGTGTACCGGTTTCGACTGCTGATCATACAGAGTGTGATAGCATCATGCGGAAAACTCTGTGGGATAAATTATGGCTTGGGAATTCACCCAGTATTCTGACGCAACTAGCCATTTATCCTTGACACTATGAAAGAGTGAAGAACATTATGGACCAATAGTGATGTCAGTTCAGTTGGGCTGTGCACAAAATGGAGTGTATGAACTGCCCAAGTTTGTGTAGATTGGGGGTGCCGAGCTGATGCAGTAATTAACGATAGAAAAGCTGCCACTCACATTCTTTCTGACTTGAACCAACCCTCAAACGACTGCTGATGAGACATTGCAACAAACCTAAAAATTGTGACACCTAGCTGGCTCTATTAATGAAGAAATCATGTACTGGTGTGAATGTCACGACCAATTTATCCAGTGTTGTATGAAATGTGAAGTTACTATGGTTTTAAATTATAGACCAGATTGCACCTGGCTCGGAAATTCAATTCTTCTTAGCCACCAAGTCCAACCCGTCACCTCCCATAGTTCACTTAGTTCACCCTTCCTGTGGATGTACCGTATTCTGGCGGTAGTCCAGGTAGGTCACGATGAAGTTACTATGTTTTAAATTATAGACCAGATTGCACCTGGCTCGGAAATTCAATTCTTCTTAGCCACCAAGTCCAACCCGTCACCTCCCATAGTTCACTTAGTTCACCCTTCCTGTGGATGTACCGTATTCTGGCGGTAGTCCAGGTAGGTCACGATGCAGTATGATTGCAACATGACTGAGATCACGAAACAAGTGTAACGTTCCGCCTATTCTGAAGAGTTTGGTGAGAAATGCGACTGAACAGACTCCGCTCTGAAGCTCAACATGGTGGTGCTGTGAAGAGGACAGCATAAGCGAGGAGTCGATGTACCTGTTTTGCAGCCTGTATAAAGATAGAACCATTTGAGTTAACCTCTAAAGCAACCCAGTGATAGCTGTTAACAGAAAAACGATAATAATTGTGTGGCTGTGACACCCTTTCCGCGCGTAGCTACTATGCTACCCCACGGAGGCACCAAGACTGAGATAATGCTAGATTGCCCAAGCCTACAAAGAAGTAGTCGAGGTACCAGGGTTGCGTCCAAATCGCTGACTTTTCTGTCCTTAATCATCGAGTTGTCTTCAGCTCTATAGCTGTCGAGCTGCAACGGAGATCAGAGTGCTTATTCCGAATAACAGCGCAGAGCTTACCATTGAAAGCTAACCCACACAGTATTTCGACGAACGTTGGTTCCGTCGATATTTACGGTTACTTCATCCACTCATTCCTACTTCACACAACTCAGTCGAATGAACAAGATATGGGGGGGCGACTATTGTTCAAATGAGAGTCCACATGCACGGAAATGTGGGAGATAACTAGTCCAAATGCGGATCCTGCTGACAACTCTGAGGCGGACTGTCGACCTCAAGTAGGATCACCGTTCGTGCACTGACTCTTGTGATGAGTATGGTAGCCGGTTACTGAAAACTGCAAGAAAAGTGTTCCTGCGACGCTTATAAGCTGACACTTTAATCTTGATCGTTTTCTAGGGTCTTCATTGCAATAGTCCTTATCTTCCCCTTTATCGCTGTTATGTAGCGATCAAACGCCAGTATCCACTGTTCACGATGATCACGACCAATCATAGTACGGCAGCTCCACTTGTATCTATCACAACCATCATCCTCAAAGGTAAAAATCGATACTTTCTTAATTTTACAACAACTTAACTGAAGGCGTGTAACAACGCGATGCGGGAAGACCGCGTCCGGAAGAAATAACTCAACACCGCTAGCGAAGACCACATTGCGCAGCAAGTGAAACGAACAACTTTAAACGCCCGCCTCGTACGTCGCACTCGTAATCTTTAAGGGTACAGAGTCACTTTTGCACACGACCAAGTTCAAAATCACTCGATTAAAGAAAAGGCCTCGTGTTAATGGGAGTTAATAAAACCAACAAGGTACCCAAATATGCATTCACGTGACCATAAAATACGATACGCATTCCGCGGTCACCAAAAAATCTCAAACAAGATCTGCAGCAACGGGAAAAATAGAGACTATCCCAAACATGCAAAACCAGAAGTAACTCATAGAAGCCAAAGACCTGTACTCTTAAATAACGCCGGATAACAAGATAAGGCGAACGGTTTTGTACAACCGATCGAATGTGTTCGCTAAACCGCACTGAATCGGTAGCAGACAATTGTAAAAGAAGAAATTAAAAAAATTCATCGACAAAAAAACGACTGATTGTTGACCGATAGCAGGTAAAAAATGATGTAATAGAATGAACCATGTAGCTGCCGTTAGTGAAATATACGGGAATAGAAATTAATACTGAGTGATAGGTGTAATAATAGACAGAACGAATACTGAATCGATGACGATAAAAAAACAGTGGGGAATCTTGCATGACTATTAGCCTGATAAAAAATAAACCACTGTGCGTACGAAAACAAAACAAGCCCCCAGGGGAAGGGGCAAAAAATCAGCAGAAGAAAGTATTTGGCCAAAGAAACAAAGCCCAAACAAAGTATGTGTTGGTCAATAAGGCACCTGTGGAAGCACGGCAAATACAGCCCGCGGGATGCACCGGTTGGAGCTATGAATAACAGTCGCAATCGCAAGAACAATAGAAAGTTATATGTATAGTTATGTGCAGTTATCTAAATAACCGTCGCGTAAAGTGACTAAACTCAACCCAACGTGAGGTGATCATAGGAAGTCTCTACCTTGTGGATCACAGATCCGGTTTAAAGGAGGTAAAGTATCCGTTTCATTTGTAGCAGTTGCATATCATCTAGTTGTAGTCTGATCAAGTGAAGCTTGTGGTGGAGCAGTTTCTGGTGGGTGGTGGGGTTGAATAAGATCCAGACGGAGCGGAGCATCCGGTGGAAAGGAAGTAGCAAAATGGTTTGCAAAGGTGTTAATTGATGCTCGACCAGATAATGTTTGGTTGGATGAAGCCGACGAAATGTCTGATGGAAGTCTTGGGTTCAGGTGCATTGCAGATAATGCATTTTTCACTTGCTGTGTGGTGCCGACAATCAAAAGACCACCAGAAGACGTTTGCGTTGTGTTGTTGTAGGAAGGCTGGGTTCCGTTAGGAACGATAGATGATGGAAAGGGAGATAACGGGACACCACTTGTCGTGAGGCAATTACTGACTGATGATGAGACTGAAGGCGGGTGGAAACAAAAGAACTGCAGAGAATTGGGTGCATGCCCGGAAGAGAACGCCGGTGGAACACAGTAAACTGGCCCTTCAGCAGATGCAGCTAGACCAATGGTGTTGACGGAACAGACAGGCCCGGGATTAAGCACACCATGACAGAGCTGGGTGGCGTTCCCGTAGATTGGCGTGGATTGAACCGGAGATCGTTGTGAGAAACAAGAATCCGAATAACAAGGGGAGATCACAGTAGGAAGAACCGGAGTCTGTTATGGACACAAGACAAAAGGGTAAAAAGGGTGAGCGTTCATGGACCCATAGTGACCAGAATTATCCAATAGGAGCTTAATATTCGTTGGAAAACTCTTGAAGCTTCGCAAAATTTCGTAAATTCCTAGGGGAGACGAAAGCTTCAGCTAAGTAACTAGGTTACAAGGTTAGTCGAGCTTCAGGAGAGGCGGAACTAATCAGCAAGATATCCCACCAAAAGCTGGCTATATCAGTTTGTTAGCTAGTACGACCAAGTGAGTACTAGAGCCGATGGAATAGAAGGAATCTGATGGTCCAGTTCATCTGCTTCAGAAGACGGCGATCGAAGGCTATTTATAGACTTTTCTTCTCGACACGTAGAACTCAGTCATTATCGACAACTAATTCTGTGTATGTCTACGAAATTAAGTGTAACGACTGAAGGTCTACATGGTTCAAACGGCCAGGGAAGTTCATATCAGAATCGGAGAGCATAGGAGAAAAATAACCAGGCTGCTAAGAAACACTGATGATTATCAAGCGTTGGTGAAAAACTCGGCAATTTCGGAACACGCACGGACACGGGACACTAAATAGATTTAGAAAATGTTGAGGTTTTGAGGCGAGGACTACGGTCCACGTCACAGAGACGTGGCGGCAGAAATCCCCAAGCATCCCAGTATTACCATAATAGAAGGCGTGGAACTGGCAATCGTGTGGATAACGGTTTTGGATCAGTTGAGTTAACACGTGTTGGTGTGTGATTATCAGGAGGAGTATTCATCATCTGAATCCCACTTAACCTTACCCACCTCCCATCCCCTCAACTAAATTGTCGCAACATTCACATGCCCACGAAGACCAACGAAAATCTACCAGTGTCACCCGCGGTGAATCATCAATTGAAGCACCCTGAAGTGGAAGATTAAGGAAAAAGAGCCCATCGGAACTAATCTGAAACTCCTCCAACCATCAATTCAAGATTTTGGCAACCACACCAACCGACATGAGTTGTTACTTGACACTCAGCACTGATCTAGTGTGATAATCTGAAGAGGACTCACTGATTGGCTCCGTCTGCCTTATAACCTGGCCCCTTTGGTGACCTGCTCACGTGGCCTGATGAAACTTTTGTGTCAAAGGCGAAATGTTGCCCAGTTAAAAACTACCGACTGTTTACCAAGTCCTCCTGAAACGACGTAACAAAGCCTGTTAACAGAAAGAGATTCTACTGGCTTGTTAAGCCCGTCCCATAACTTGGTCAAGTAGTCTGACAAAGTTTTTACTTCAAACGCGAAAAGCCACCCAGCAATTAAACCACCAATGGTTTCCCATGCATTCCTGAAACAAAAGATTGACGTCGATAAAGCCTGATCTACTAGAAGTCGCATCATCTGAAATTTTGGCAACTTAGGAGAGAGTACAGAGAGTACTCACAGAGCTGCAGCTCGCTTGGAGGCTAAAATAAAGTGGTTACCGATTCGTGTCACGTCACAAACCGATATCAAAAAATTGAACTTAATCCGTCTCCGATACGATCAGAACAGAAAGAGTATACATCTAGGTCAGAGAACGCACAGCCATAATCCACAGAGAGGAGCATTAGGAGTTTGCAATACATGTGCGCACTGAAAACGGAAACGGTGTGAACCAGTGGACAACTGGACTAGATAGAGGCGTCGCTGTACCGTGTTTACCGTCCGAACTCTGGATCAAAATCGAAAAACATGCGAACGCCGATGTACTAACGGACGAAAGCTGGCACACACACACACACACACACCGATACACACGGTCAGACACATCTGAAACAAGTTTTACGTACAACAAGAAATTCGCCAGGCCAGTTGTTGGATAGAATATAGATAGGTCTGAAAACTGAAGTAGTGCGGCTAGAAGCCAGGACAACAACAAGGCTGTAACAACGGCAGCGGAGGCACAAGCATGGTGGGAGCGTTGTGTGGGTGACGGTCTGGTTGTGCCTGTGCAGCAATACTAGAAACACGAAGGGACAGAGAGTAATGCTGATTGTGTACTCGTGATAAGCATACGTAACTTTTACACCCACAGGAATTTCCATCACCACCAATAACATGACTTTATTCACACATTCAGACATGTGTGCACAAAGTCCCGTGGCGACAAGTGAGAAATTAGGGTTGGTGACGAACCAGCAAATGGGGAATCCACTGCTTTAAAGACTGAAGTCAACTACAGTGGGAAGAATGCCGATATCCATAATAAATAGCGTCACAGTTGATTACATTTCACCTGTCAAGCAATATGCCATGTACCCAGGAAATGTTGTTCCAGCTGTTACACTACCGATTACTGAGAAACCGGAGAATAAGAAATGGACCGCCGGGTCAGTCACCTGCATTTGTGTCACCCACACGACATCAGTTTGGCTGTCAACCGCAGAGCGTACAAAGCTGCGAATAAGTGACATGGGTGTTGCGCGCGAACATCAAAGACTCCCTGTGTTTGACCATCAGCTGAATGATTATTCCATTATTATCGGTGTCCCCGAAGCACTCAATGGATTTGGTGGGAACATCAGGTCGCTAATGCTGTGAGGTACGCCAGATGGTTTCCAGAAACGCAAACAGATCAGCCGGTCACACTCGATAGATTACGCGTACTTCGTATGCCAGAGGACCAGTTGTTGCGTAAAGTCCTATTCGCTCTGAAAATTATCGTGAGCTGTGTGAACTGTGAAAGGTGTTTCGAGTCACCCCAGCTTTTGGCGACGTCAGTTCATGATGGAGGGTGAGCTAATAATTAGGAATAGCAGGAGGTGAAAAACCAACTTCACTGGCTGCAAGGCACCGTCAGTTATGTGGTAAATATCCTACATCCCATCGTCGCAGAGGGCATGCCCTTGCTGTTTTCCAAACTCCGAATTCAAGTAAATAGTTGCCCACCTTGTGGTGTTCCGTTTGGAAGGTGTTTCAGCACAGCGGATACGGCGAAACAATTGATCATCTAAGCAGCCTGACTGGTGTGGCTGAATTAAGTTGTCAGCTGGACAAGCAGTTTTGTTGACAAAAACATTCACTGCATTTGAGCAATCAATTTATGAGCTATAAACCGTGTACCATGGGCACATTAGTTCCAGCTACTACAGCTTTCGTCACCGGAAATTGGGAGAGTGTAAGACACAGCCAAGCCTCGGGAACCGCGTAGCTACACACTGAAGACGATAGCTTTCAGACACGAGCGCCACTGACTGCGCGGTTGAGCCACTTCTGCCAATGTCACTAACAGTTAGTGGACTGAGTCCCAGCATCCCTATCCACGGAGTTGCCAACTCAACTCAGTTTACTTGGTTGCCTCCACTCAAAATAGGGCTTGACGAAAAGAGCTCTGCAAGGCAGATGGTCTTTTGGCATGAGGAGTACATGTCCCAACCAGCATAATCTATGAAGCGTAGGTAATTCACCTACCGTGGGAGCCCGTCTGGAATACCTCCAATCAGACTCCACCAATGCTTCGGAGACACCAATGGCCAAAAACTGACAACTTTCATATGTCCTCTGCTCGTAAAGACCACATTTCTGATCCATAAGGCAGTATGGATCACACTGCCGCAAGGTAGACTCTGAACTTGACGAACAAACTGACCTCACGTCGGTTCCTTAGAAGCCGCAGCTTAGCAAAAGCTACTCTGGTCTTCCCCACTCATCTCCGGCCAGTCCACCGGAACTTATACAGCTGCCCACGTAAACGAATTTACCTACCATGTCGATTGGCTCGTTTGCAAGTATCAGGTTTCGGTTTGATCCCACCCAGTCTTGTATCAACACAGTTTGCAGGTGTGGGGCGCACGCCAAACCGTGCAGCAGAGTTGGTCAGGCTATTCAAAATGGTTTGCATTTTAGAGGGTATTAACCAAGGAGAACAATATCATCTACATAATCATTGTCTGTGAGCGAACATCCCCGTGCGCATTGTGACCACCGAAGTTTTGGAGGCAGGCAGAGTAACTTCAAGCAGCACATTAATAATAAAGGCAAGGTAGGGCAACCTCATCTTACGCTACTGGACGTGGTGAACTCAGACGAAAGCTTCCCGTATACCCACACGCACCCACAATAGTTCGCACGCCTCCATAAGGGACATAAACCTGAAAGTTTACCCTCGATCGTCAGACGCCCCAAAAGTCTCTGAATACCGATTCAAAAGCAGTCTTCAGATCAAGAAAGAAGACGTTTGAAGGAGTAGCGCTGTTCAAGAATTTGTCTCAAGGTAAAGATATGGTCTATGCATCCCCCACCAAGGTGAAACCCAGCTTGATTTTTAATCGAATCTGTCTGTCCTGATAATCGGTCAACCTGCGAAAAACAATGCCAGAGAGCGAATTAGATGGGACGGATACCAGGTTGATACCATGATGGTTTTCGTCTGATGTTCTTCTGCCCTTTTTTAAAACTGGAATGAGGGTCGAGAAGCTCCATTCTAATGGTGTTGTTTTCATTCAGAAACTTCTGGATTATCGATCAGCCGCAACACCCTTTCGGTACCTAGCTACCATGTCATCCGAAGGAAGCGCGAAAGCTGGGATACTACCAGGTTGCCCAAGTCTAGACAGGAGAAGTAGAGATGCAGAGGCCCAGTTCGAACCTTCTGTATTATGGTCGTCAGACTGTTGGCAGGACCCCACTAACGTTTTTGAAAAGTGCGAGGTAGGGTCCATCCGAATCAGGTGCAATTTCGCGTTGAAGGATTGACATCTCACGCTGGATTTTTGTTGTTGATGGCGCGCTGGTTTCTATGCTCCTGGATGGGAAAGGATTGACCACGCTGGATTTTTGTTGTTGATGGCGCGCTGGTTTCTATGCTCCTGGATGGGAACCCCGAGACGGGCCACATCAATGGCTGGCCACATTGTCAGACATGGCCCAGTCGCGCCCTCAATGGCGCTCGTGCATGCAAGCTATTGCCTTCAATGCATAGCTCCTTTTCCAACCCCCCACTTGACAGCCCACTGGCAGTGCTGGATTTATGCACTAACTTACCAGTTCGCGCCTGCAATGCGCAGCTACCTACCCCCTCCCCCAAATCATCGGTGAACGAAACTGCGGCAGCTGCAATCACTGTATGACGAGTACGCGGTTATTACAGCTGACAATGATGACGATGACGTCAGCACTGCGCAACTGGATTTGGACCTCAGCTAAGCAGCCCGAATGCGTCACTGGTACTCCACCAGTACCCACTGGAAGCTCGTGAGTTATTGCGTTTGAACTATAACTCTGGAACCATTATGGTTGCGTCGACTGACCCATCTGCCTCAATAAAGGACTCTTCAGAAGGTTTTCAGTAAAGTTTCCGCAATACCGGAGAGCCTATTTAAGGCAAACAGGCGAGATTTCTGTAGAGAATATGAACCCACCGGGGTGACACCTCACCCTAAGGTGGCAGATATCCTCTGTTGGAGGAAGGAACTTAGGTCAGTAACCCCTGACTTAAAGAGTGTATAGCACATATCACTTCAAGTCTCGACGTTATCAATTTATGAAATCTATAATCGTATTGCGGAACGAATTGCATAAAATAATTACCATCGGTACTGTACTGTGGCTAGTTTTGGTACAGAAGGACGAAAAAATTCACAAACAGAAGAACTAGATGATGGCTGAGATACGAATAAGTATCCAGTGACAAACTATAAGGCGGAGCTTATCATTGACTGTGACGTTGCTTCACATCTGGAAGTGTCTCCAACCGTCGGTGAGGCTCATCGGTCAATCTACAACTTGCAGTGCGATGCCTTCAAGGAGTCAAACTGGGGCTTTTGTCCTCGACCGGCCACCATTCTGTTATCTCCAGTCTGATTAGGGCTTGACAGATAACTTATGAGTTGAGAAGTGCCGTCCCTACTCGGAGGCTGTCGTATCACGAGCGTATACCATATTTTCGGTATTTACAGTACGTTACTGGTCCCTAGCTGCCGTATGTTCTCGTTACTTAATCCTATGACCACCGTTGGTCGAGTTGGTTGACAAAGGCGAGGATTGCTAAAAATCAGTAGCTGATTCGCATTTTTCCGGAAAAGGGGCCGTGTTGACACACAAAGGGCAAGTCCTCCCAGAGTAAAACGAAGCTAACCACGTAAGCGTGAAAACAGCTAGGTTCGGAGCTGGTTTACTCAACTTGCACAGCGTGCTTTCACATTTGCTAACACCAACAAGTGTGATATTATTATTTACTCAGCGACACCGAACTCATTATTCTGGCACTCGGGGAAGGTAATAGTGAACTGGCTACTCATGCGTTCTTGTTTTCCATCTAAGAGTGAATGTAAAACGTGGCAATGGTGGAATCTTCTTGTTAACACCTCACGCCGATGGATCGTTTTAGTATTCGGTGTGTACTATATCATGAGGATCGATTGCATACGGACAGACAAAAGGGTCGTATATTGCTCGCTATGAGAAGTGAAAGCACGTTACTTTCATTCATGACTTTGCCTGTATGTTTATACACAAATATTCCCAGAACGGTAACTAAGATGACAAGCCCTTCTTGTTCTCGCGACTCAAAAGAGCCTTGCTGAAGTTTAGTTCGTTTCTCTTAGGATCTTGAGCTGTTGGTAACAAATTCTCCTTCACCCTTGAATCTGTAACCTGGATCCTGATCGGAGGGATATGTTGACACTCACCCACTACCAAGGACTTGCACGAACTCGACGCGCATTGTCGTTTTGGATTCGATCACATAGTGTATTCAGCATAAATTTAAATGCAGCGGCATGTGAAAATTCATGTGGGATGACAAGAACTGTTGTAGAATATTTGCTCTGCTTAATCCTCCACGCATGAAAGTTATTAGCCTCCAGTGTTCTCTCGAGTGTTGCACGTCAAATCAAAATGAACTCACTCGCGATTCGAGTGGATTTAGAAACTTTGCTTACATAGTTTTTCGGAATTAAAAACGAAGACAGAAATCGACAGCCCATCTATCTGCATGCTTGGCCATACGATCATGTTCAAGGCCAAGGCATTAGACAAATGGGGTACTGTGCCGGATTCGATATTCCTGCATTCGGTAACCATACACTTGATCACAATTTCATCTTATCGTTTTGTATCATATCAAGCTTCGCTTGCTCTGATCTTTTCAGCCATTGATGCCCTTTTGGGATGTCCATTGTTACTATTGCCATCGGGACATCTACCCGATTCGGATGCAGCGCAGGAAGTACACCTGTTGGATGCAGTTAGGGAAGAACCTCAATTGATTTTGCTTATCATCAATTGGTGTGTGGAGGCTGTCAACGTGTTTTCTCCTCTATTTGTGGCTCATTTTGCTTCGAGTGAGAAGCAAAGTGAAGGAAGGGATTCCAGTGCTGCTTCTCAGGCTGATCGTCACAGCTGTGGTGACAACGAAAGCTGCCCCATACGTTTACAACATCCCACTGTTCTAAGTCGTCTTGCACAAATCGCTCATTTGAGAAACCGATTGCATGTGTGTCTTCTTCGGCTCGACCATCAGTGTCCAGTTCCTTTGGACTGTTCACAAGATCAGCCCACTGTGGAGACCCAGCGCCTGGCTGACTTGTGTCTCCCAACAGCGACTTTCGAGCCTGGACGGACATGGGATTCTCATCCATCAAGAGCGGATTCAGGTCGCTTCCCCTGTTTCACCTGTGGAATCCACCTAGTTTCCACGGCCAACCGTAATCAGGTTCCCAGGTCAGTCGGTTACTGATTGCCATGTACGTGGATGTTCAGGATGAAATTGAGATGATTCTAGACAGAATACATCTTGAACTACATAAACATTTCCGCCTAATGTTGCAGGATTTCGTGGTAGGTTGTATGTTGATACATTGGCTTCACTTCATCGTAACAAGTTGTGAGTCAGAGCGCTTATATATGACGGAACCGGTTACAGCGAACCGCCCTGCCCGAAGCACTTAATGGATTTGGTGGGAACATCAGGTCGCTAATGCTGTAAGGTACGCCAGATGGTTTCCAGAAACGCAAACAGATCAGCCGGTCACACTCGATAGATTACGCGTACTTCGTATGCCAGAGGACCAGTTGTTGCGTAAAGTCCTATTCGCTCTGAAAATTATCGTGAGCTGTGTGAACTGTGAAAGGTGTTTCGAGTCACCCCAGCTTTTGGCGACGTCAGTTCATGATGGAGGGTGAGCTAATAATTAGGAATAGCAGGAGGTGAAAAACCAACTTCACTGGCTGCAAGGCACCGTCAGTTATGTGGTAAATATCCTACATCCCATCGTCGCAGAGGGCATGCCCTTGCTGTTTTCCAAACTCCGAATTCAAGTAAATAGTTGCCCACCTTGTGGTGTTCCGTTTGGAAGGTGTTTCAGCACAGCGGATACGGCGAAACAATTGATCATCTAAGCAGCCTGACTGGTGTGGCTGAATTAAGTTGTCAGCTGGACAAGCAGTTTTGTTGACAAAAACATTCACTGCATTTGAGCAATCAATTTATGAGCTATAAACCGTGTACCATGGGCACATTAGTTCCAGCTACTACAGCTTCGATCACCGGAAATTGGGAGAGTGTAAGACACAGCCAAGCCTCGGGAACCGCGTAGCTACACACTGAAGACGATAGCTTTCAGACACGAGCGCCACTGACTGCGCGGTTGAGCCACTTCTGCCAATGTCACTAACAGTTAGTGGACTGAGTCCCAGCATCCCTATCCACGGAGTTGCCAACTCAACTCAGTTTACTTGGTTGCCTCCACTCAAAATAGGGCTTGACGAAAAGAGCTCTGCAAGGCAGATGGTCTTTTGGCATGAGGAGTACATGTCCCAACCAGTATAATCTATGAAGCTTAGGTAATTCAGCTACCGTGGGAGTCCATCTGGAATACCTCCAATCAGACTCCACCAATGCTTCGGAGACACCAATGGCCAAAAACTGACAACTTTCATATGTCCTCTGCTCGTAAAGACCACATTTCTGATCCATAAGGCAGTATGGATCACACTGCCGCAAGGTAGACTCTGAACTTGACGAACAAACTGACCTCACGTCGGTTCCTTAGAAGCCGCAGCTTAGCAAAAGCTACTCTGGTCTTCCCCACTCATCTCCGGCCAGTCCACCGGAACTTATACAGCTGCCCACGTAAACGAATTTACCTACCATGTCGATTGGCTCGTTTGCAAGTATCAGGTTTCGGTTTGATCCCACCCAGTCTTGTATCAACACAGTTTGCAGGTGTGGGGCGCACGCCAAACCGTGCAGCAGAGTTGGTCAGGCTATTCAAAATGGTTTGCATTTTAGAGGGTATTAACCAAGGAGAACAATATCATCTACATAATCATTGTCTGTGAGCGAACATCCCCGTGCGCATTGCGACCACCGAAGTTTTGGAGGCAGGCAGAGTAACTTCAAGCAGCACATTAATAATAAAGGCAAGGTAGGGCAACCTCATCTTACGCTACTGGACGTGGTGAACTCAGACGAAAGCTTCCCGTATACCCACACGCACCCACAATAGTTCGCACGCCTCCATAAGGGACATAAATCTGGAAGTTTACCCTCCATCGTCAGAGGCCCCAAAAGTCTCTGATGACCGATTCAAAAGCAGTCTTCAGATCAAGAAAGAAGACGTTTGAAGGAGTAGCGCTGTTCAAGAATTTGTCTCAAGGTAAAGATATGGTCTATGCATCCCCCACCAAGGTGAAACCCAGCTTGATTTTTAATCGAATCTGTCTGTCCTGATAATCGGTCAACCTGCGAAAAACAATGCCAGAGAGCGAATTAGATGGGACGGATACCAGGTTGATACCATGATGGTTTTCGTCTGATGTTCTTCTGCCCTTTTTTAAAACTGGAATGAAGGTCGAGAAGCTCCATTCTAATGTTGTTTTCATTCAGAAACTTCTGGATTATCGATCAGCCGCAACACCCTTTCGGTACCTAGCTACCATGTCATCCGAAGGAAGCGCGAAAGCTGGGATACTACCAGGTTGCCCAAGTCTAGACAGGAGAAGTAGAGATGCAGAGGCCCAGTTCGAACCTTCTGTATTATGGTCGTCAGACTGTTGGCAGGACCCCACTAACGTTTTTGAAAAGTGCGAGGTAGGGTCCATCCGAATCAGGTGCAATTTCGCGTTGAAGGATTGACATCTCACGCTGGATTTTTGTTGTTGATGGCGCGCTGGTTTCTATGCTCCTGGATGGGAACCCCGAGACGGGCCACATCAATGGCCGGAGACATTGTGAGACATGGCCCACTCGCGCCCTCAATGGCGCTCGTGTATCAAAGCTATTGCCTTCAATGCATAGCTCCTTTCCAGAGGTTGTGGTTAAAAAGACCAGGTGAGTTGCTCAGCGCATAGCCCAAGACGATGATTTTGTGAGTGAATTGCTGCTTCACCTCTTCTGCATATTCTTTCGCTGACACTTATCCTCTTTTGAGCAGACTTGAGCATCGCCAATCCGACGTCCCCGTAAAACATATGCAGTACATCAAAGATACCAACGGTCTTCTTTGGTTTTCGACATACAGTGGCGAGGCTTCACAACCCGAAGACAAAACTTGACGCACTTCCACATTGTAAACATTGCGGCAGCCTAGTGTCACATCGATTTCAAAGGTGTCTAAATTAAAGGAAAGCAGGACAGCCACAAGGATCTAGCAATCACTTCGTTAGTAATGCTCTGTCGACAGGGTGCAACTGCCCACATCTCTAGTGCCTCTTATGTCAGCAATAACGGTGCCCTTTAAAGATGCAAAGCATACACAAAATCACATGACGAAATTACTTAGATTACTTGTTGTAGTTGCGCCTGCATGGAATGCGAGCCATGTAACGCAACGTAGCCAGCATATCCCGGGTCTCTAAAATCGTTCCCAGGAAGAGCTCAGAAAGACGTCAGTAGATTGAGCATTGAGAGACCATGTAGAGCTGGGAGCTCTACGTAACGAGGATAAACTAACGCCGTTACACAAGGAAATAAAACATTTAGGAACTCGCCACCATCCTCGTCACCCTAACTGTCAGTCATCACTCTTGCTGACACCTACTGCAATACAGCTGCACAGAGCACAAATGTACTTGAAGAAATGCCACAAAAATCGGACAGCTGAAATAGTTACTCGGATTTTGCAACGCATTAAGCTAAACGCAAGGTATGAAGTGAAGCGGACTGGGTCTTCAAATGCAGTTTAAGCCGATAACACGTGGAATTTCTATGACCCCCAAGGTGTGCTCCTAAGAAATCAAACTTTATTCACCTTTTGGTTTACGCCCTCCTGAAATGGACAAACAATAACTGAATTCGAGTTACACATGATCACATATTGGTCAGCGGTGCGAAACACGACAGTATTGCTTGAAAAGCGTACTAAAAACGGGATAGCCAACACATTCTGAAAGATTTAAAGTACGAAACTGAATGGACAAAACGCAGTTAACCAACATGTCCACTGAGAGCGCTGGAATCAAACGTCTGCAGTACCGGTTAACTAGAACTAGAGGGATTTCGAGCCCTCTTGGATGTCATCTTATCACTCGCACAGCAATCTACTTGGAACCGTCCTCTTCCAGGGCACTTGCTTTGAAGTAGTGCTGTCCTCGTATTCTTGTCCCTCTTGCTGTCGATGATGATGATTTCGAGCCCACTTATCTACCAAAGGCCATTAATCAAGCAATTACTGAACTCCCAACGAAAACTCGACTCACCTGACATAGAGAAGGTGAACAAAGTACAGGCTTGCTGAAGACAGTCTCATCCACGGTTGTTGAATGCCCTCCAAACTGAACACTCGGGTGGTGATCACCAGTGGAACCCGCCGAATTCGAGGTAGTCAAAGAACAAGACTGGGGACGTGTGACTGGGCTGTGGACTCCATCTGGGAGCCTATCGTCAACAGAAGAGTGCAAACGAATACTCGCAAAGCTCTCAGTAAGTGCAGAATCGGTAGAACCTCCGCTCCAGTATCTTGCATGACTAGACACGGCAGTCATTGAACACTCATCCACCAAAGGAGGTGTAAAATCATGTGATGAAGTGTAACCGTTAAGGGAGGGGCCCCTGAGTGTATGCACCGACGGGTTGAAGACCGGTAGAGACGAAGATGGTGTGCTGTTTGGCACATTTGCTGAGCAGTCGTCAACCACCCCGTAAGTCTGAAGTAGCTAGAAAAAAATGTGACTTCTGAAACAAGACGTAACAGCCAAAAGTGATGTATATACTAGTGATACATCGTTTAAACCTAAAAAAACTGAACCACACAGGATGACAGCCAAAATCTGAATGCATGAAGGAACGGGCTAGACTAAGGAGTGCATTGGATGGATCAGTATTCGCTCACCTGGAATACAGGTTGAGATCGGACGAATAGGCCATGTACTGAAGGACATTACTACCATGCAGTTAAAACAGTGATAAAACAGTGATAAACAGTGACAAAACTGTATGCCATGACCCGTAAGATTGCTGAAAACTATTTGAAAGCCCACTGGCGACTTCACCCTTCTTGGGCCCCATCAACTGGGTTCGGTACTCTCTAGCAATTTTATTTTCGACTTGAACACAAAACCTAATACAAGCGGCGAAATACCCTCATTTACAGATTAAGTTGTTGCCGAAGGAGCCCAGTGAATCGCCGCTAAGTCCATTTTTTTTCAGATATTCTTCAACTGAATGTGTCGCGCATAAACCAACTCATGTTTCGGCCGTGTTTGATAAGCCTTATATCAACAGAATACACTTTGATAACTCGATTATCGTGCTAACTAAAACACGCGGCCCTTGTGCAGCCCATGCAGTTAAAGGGTATCCCCTGAGATTCAGTTTTATTCCCGGCTGACAACAACACAATCCGGCAAACGAATGCATCTCGCTATATATGACCATCTTGTTTTCAAGCTTTACCTCCGTTACTTCTATCCTAGAAATCTGAAGCTATGAGAGCAATTAAGCAATGTCGAAATAATTCTTCGGGCTGGAGTTCTAGCTTTCCAGAACTTTAGGGAGGAACAATGGAGAGCAAGAAAAAGCCATAGATGACAAGATTGTGGACACCCCGGTTCTATGCTGGCTTTCAATTGACTAGAGCTGAACATTTTTCTGTACTACCATATTCATTCATACAGAAATTGATTGAAAGTTAGGGAGTAACAGAGTGGTTTCAGAACATCTTTCAACCATACGTGCATGAATTACTGAATATGACTTCCTATATGCCACACGCTAGTCTGTAACATAAAAGCCAACAGAACTAAATGAATGGTAACGATACCACAAGCGTGGCATGCATATCCGAATAACGGAACAATTGTCATTTGTAAGTTGTTGCGAGATTTGTGGAATGCACATCCACATCAGCCTCGTTTGAACAATTCTTCTCCTTTCCTAGAGCAATTATTCGGGTGAGCCCACACCACAGATGCGGAATCACTGGACTCGAGTTTCGCTCTCATTGGGGTTCATTAGTGGATATTCTTGGTCGTGCCGGAGTTTGCACTCCGGGCATGACATTCGAGGCGAGTTTTCATTACTGCACGCTGGACATACCTGAGCTTTCACATATGAACAGACGAACGTGTTCGTGCTTGGTCGAAGTGACTGGCGTGCCGGACGCCTCGAACGACGATCCGGTAATTGTCCTGGTTGTATCGATCGATTGACCCGCGTGTCAGGTCTTCCCGGCCAGGTGCCGTGGCGGCATGAAACCCGCTGGGCATGTTTGATTTGTTGTAGGTGGTTGCGGGATTTACTGTTATTCCCACTCATTTTGACGATTTCCAAAGAAGACAACACGGCGGGTCACACCTCCCGCCTCATTAACAGCGAGTTTCTGAAGATGCCAGGCTGGCTAGCGTGAAATTGTCATCTCAACACACGCAACAACCTGCGAGCACCCCATGTGTCTATGAGCTGACAACTGCTTTGGAGTAAGAATGAATAAACTGTCATCAAGATAATTATCGAAACTATATCCAGCAGTCTGTACTGTCATCAATATATTTATCGAAACTATATCCAGCAGTCTGTTGATACTATGCGGCGAAATCATCAAAACTTGTAGTCAGAAACGAACTGGTGTAGTCCTGTGGTTCTGTCGTACCCATTTTACCCTTTTTGAATATCTCACTTCAATTCCTTGAAAATGTACGCCAATTATTCGTTTGTCTTCTAAGGGCATGCATCAACCGTTGAGCAAATATGGCTGGATTCTATCCACTAAAGAAAAATATGGGCGCTCCCAAAATTTTGCCACGAGGAGTGCAAACGTATAAATTCCCGACCAATTAACAACTCGAGGTAATGATTCTCACCCGAGCAGTAGTAGCTAAACTGTCAGCTGATTGGAACCCGAGCAAGGAAGGAAGCAATGAACCGCACTGCGTAGTGGGAGGCGTCAAAAATTCAGATGGTACCAACGAACTGGGCCCTTGATATTGTCCAAATGGGAATGTGTTCGTCGTCAACCAAGCGACCGGAGGGCTGTATGGACTGGGAAGTGCAACCAGTTTCGAGCCTGACAAATGTTGAGGAGGAGTAACAGTAAACGTGCCCATCGCGTTAGCAATAGCCGTTAGGTAGGAAGGATTGGGAAGCAGTGTGTCATCGACTGGAATAAAGGTGGGAATCTCTTGATAGCCTGGAGTAGTGGAACAAAAATCTGTGGGAGAGAAAAAGAGAACACGGAATCAAGACTCACTGAACTATGGACGAATTTAGGAAAATCACCACTCCGGAGAACAGTCGTGTTCTTTGATAACTGTGGTTAATGGTAAGGCTTCGGACAATCACTTCTGTTAGACACCAAATATGCAGTCGAAATACTTACTCTCAATATTCCAACAGCCAAACTGGAAATGCAATTGGTAATATCGTAATAAGACCTACCGCTGTTTCTTCTAAACAAATTGGTGAAACACAAAATTGCGACGAATATAACTCCCTTACGTCGTCTTTCAAACCAAGGGCTATCAAACTAGCAACGCTGGTACTCATATGGCTCACCGAGACTAAATAAACTAAATAAGTGAATAAACTAAATAAACTACCTCAATTCCAAGGATCGATTATTCGAAATGATGCAGGAATGTTCCGAATAATACTGCTATGTTTTATACATTATCTTGAACAACGACCCTCCCATAGATTANGGCTATCAAACTAGCAACGCTGGTACTCACATGGCTCACCGAGACTAAATAAACCAAATAAATGAATAAACTAAATAAACTACCTCAATTTCAAGGATCGATTATTCGAAATGATGCGGGAATGTTCCGAATAATACTGCTATGTTTTATACATTATCTTGAACAACGACCCTCCCATAGATTAATGTTCTCATCTTGGTACAAGTGATTCATCCAGGTGCCTTGAAATAGTTTCTCCTCCGTACGTTCTCTCCATCCCACGGATGAAAAACATTTTGAAGCAACGCTGCTTTTCCAATCGAAGCGAACGAGTTTGTCTTTAATCCAATTAGATTCTGAATCCGGTTATTCCGCTTCGAGTGGTTCACCCATAGCGTGAGTACAGTGGCGTCCAGACACAACGATCACGCACCAATTGAGTTGGGGCACGACCCTCCAATCAGAAATGTTCCCATGAACTCCTTACTTATTGTTCACTTGCATCTCTGTCTAACCGACTCGCCAATCCCCTTCTTCATACAAGATGCATGACAGTTTTGTCCTGAAATATAACGCTTTGAAACGAGTTCAATTATCCAGCAAAGCGAAAAACTATTTGATCAAACTACACCTAACCGGTAACCAATGCACTGAGGTAAAAACCTGGCAAAAGTGAGCAAGCAGAGTCGGTAAGACAGAGACAATCCACCTACTCTCAAGTTTCGGTCAAAACAAAGGGACGTGTCGACAACTGGAAGTACTTTGAGTGGAAGAGGCACGTCTGAAGTACGAGAACAAACATAAAAAGGCACGACAACGTCCCGAAACTTAAATCAAACAGGTCAAATACACAGGTGGGTTGGCATCCCTATCCAGAAATTCAGCCACCCCTATTGTTGACACCCCAGAGGTTCACACGTCAGGACAAGGATCAGAGGGAGTACAACTACGGATACTTGGAGCACATTTCAAAAGGGCTTACCACAAAAAATGGACGTTTCTGTATGGTAGTACTGACGGTTGAAGCATATACGGAAAGGACTGAGAAGTGTCTTGGAATTAACATTTATCTCACACTTAAGGAATCGGAGTAAACTGAAGGTACGAAACGTTTAAATTTTGGTGATAGTTTTATGCAACGTCTCCAGCCAAGAAAACGAGGGATTACGGGGACTCCATCCGGCAAGGTGCACCGCACCAACAACAACAACCTGTTGGTGGTCGTAGAATTATTCGTCGAATGTGTGGTTGATACAGCCAGTATGGGTCAGCACTCGGGATCTTACCACGTTTCGATCCCGAATCCAGCAGTCGGGCCTCACACAAGCACATGGTGCCCATACAATTGTCGCGCTGGATGCGCAGAGCAATAGCAATAGCCGGATTGGCAAATGGTGCGCCATTTCTTTGGAACATCATACCGCAAGCTAACAGGTATTATGATACAAGATATTCATAGTTTTGTGAGCATTGCACAAGCAGTATCCTAGGAGGCGCAGCTAAACTTTTAAATTCCAAGTCTTATCCGTAAAGCAGCGAAATAAATGTACGGACTTTGTACAGAACGGTTAAGCGTTATCGTCAAGATGACGGATGGATTCCAGGGATGAACTCGTTCACCAGACCAGCCGAAGCTGGTTCATGCTGCTTCAGCACACTCGTATTTCAAGCTAACACAGGCTTTGTCTTCGCTTCAGTTAGTTCTGAAGTTTTAGTGCGGGTATTTATGGCTAGTTGCAATAAGCAATCACACGTGACTCTGTATGTGATGGTTGCATTCCCAATAGGGTCTCAACAGATTGGAAGTACCTGAAAGACATGATTTTGTGACACATTTTTAAGCAGGCAGTCGTTTTCCTCCGTGTGCTGGCTGCACACTAGAAGTTATATTCTCCAGAGAACAGCATAACAAGCTGCGGTGGTCAGATTAGTGCTTTTGTATGACAAAACAAACACCGTCCTGCGGATGTGGAAAACAGTATGGCGCCACATAGGTGGATACCTGCAAGCCGTTGGTGCGTTTGGAATAGGTGTATTTGCCAAGAGAGTCAAGAAGGACGAAGCGGGTGTCAGGAAGGACGAGTACCTAGAAATAAATCCCAGAATGTCTGAAAATCACTTGGACCTATCAACACTATCGAAATCGCCTTGGTAAGGCCGCAGAGCCCCTAGGTTAAGAGAGTCAGTTGTTAACTGGACGCTCGAGTAGCCAATCGGCAAAGATCCATGATGCTCGACTGTTCAACCATGTCCCAATGCCAACTGAGTAAGCCTGATTCAAATTCAAAAGTGCGCCTTAGATACCACGAAGCTCCCTGCAATTTCGCACTTCCTTGTGTTCTTGTCGGGCGAGTCTCCTCCCGTCAGTAAAATTCTGGAGTGTGAATCAGCGGTTAGTTACGATAATATGCTTAACAGAAATCAGAATCGTACGTCTCGATTGCTGCAGTGTTCGATATCATTCTGCCCAACGGACACTTCACCATATACATGGGCCCACAAATACAGACTGAAACTCAACGTGACCTATGTAGCAAATAGCAATTTAGTGGACAAACATTTTATACACGCAGTCATCTGTCATTCACTTTATCATGTATGCACGGATTCTTATCAAATTTTTGAAAATGTGACAAAACTGTAAGGATTAAAATGCTGGCATTGTTTTCAAATCCTACATCTCCAAATTTGTTTACCAAAGTACGTAATTTTCTAGTTGTTCCCGAGATCAATCGACAACAACGGATCCGAACATAAAGCGCACCATAGGAGAAAACACAACCACTTACAGCAGTCTCGATTTATTAGAAACATTTCCGTCCAAATTGAAGTTGCCACACAAAGCTGCGAAAAACCAAGTGCCTTACGGGAATTCAGAGACACTTACGACCAACAAACGAGTATTCACCGTCAGGGGTAACGCTTCAGTTAACATCGATTACCACTTTTTCGCGAGATGCTTCGCCTGTTGTTGCGCTGCTTCCTAGCGATTTTATAGTTCTTTCTGATGAGAATGAACAAACTACTGAAAGAACATTCCTCATACTTTCTTACAGAAGCTTCTTCTTGCATGAACCGTCTTTACCTCGATACCTTATTTTATCTGTTCTATTCTACCGCAATAAAAATGATTGGAGAGAGGATGCATGTTATGAAAAAATTGAATCGCCGATACCGCTTTTAGAAATTCCTCCTGAAATTGTGGTTCCTTACAAAAGGGAGATACTGAGTTTATGAGACAGAAGACAGTAAAATCGCTCCCTGGTTCCAAGTATTTCATCAATGGTAATGCACTATGAAAGTTCATACTTGGGTGGTTATACGCGAATTTCAGGGCATTTTATAATCAGGACCGAAATTGACCCAAAGTCCACGAAGGGAGTCATTTTTTGCGGATCCAGCTACCCCCTTCATTTGCGGTTGTGAATTTCCATGGGATTCAGAGAGTGCCAACCGCAATCTGGACACAGTAAATTTCAAAAGCCTTATAAAACGATCCAAACATCGATTAACGGTCATTATGCATAGTGGTGTATATGAGAGGGGAAAGCCCGTTGTGAGAGGTCCAGTACAAAACGAAAAAAGAATGGAATGTCACGTAAATGTTACCAGTCAATCTTTGTTAAACCGTTCTGCGCTGCTTCAGTAGGAAAACACTGCGACACCAAGGTAAGGTGGCCCACCGCAGTAAATTTTTCATTTTGTGACGTACATGAAAGATCGGCTACCCTAACGCCGAATTCCACCAAGCATATTTATCTCCACATTTATCCACTGAACACCCCCAACAATGATCACATAAAGAATGATTAGTGCATTCCCTGAGGTCCGTAAAGCTGCTGGGTCAACGGATCTACAAACCGACTCATCCAATTGGTACCTAACTTACATTTCAAGACCATTCTCGTATTGCCGTTTTGAAAACCATGAAATAGTGCATGAAATAACCTGCCTGAATTTTGGATAGGGGGTCCGAAGAGAAGCGGAGAATACACTGGCGCTGTCGGAGCCAAATCCATTTTAACGCAACTCTGATCAGCATCGACGTAGGGTAAATTGGTTGTTGCATAAGGCACGGAAGGTTGTGACTCATTGGTATTTACTGCGTACGGTGACCCAGTAGGATATGCACTAGCGACCGGTTCATGTATTTGCACATAAGAACAATTCGGGCAACTGGCTGAATCAGGGTCTTCTGCGATCTTCGAGAGGACCATGGATAGTGCTAATCGCCGCTCATCCATATCCCCTGAAATGTACATATAACAGATATGACACCACAACAAACTGAAGTTGGTCAATAAAGTTTCCCTATGAAAATGAAGAATACAACGTACCAGTGATAATGATGCAGCGTTCCATGAGTTTAAGTCCTTTAGGACGTTGTGAGATTTGCACAAAAGCACCGCTCATTTCCTTAATCTTCTTAATAAAAGACCCGGATTTCCCAATTATTACACCTGCTGTACTGTTCGGAACTAGAATTTTCACCTAAACGACAAGATGACCAAAAAGTAGGGAAACAGACTAACTTGATTATGTCGCTCCATGTGTACCGGAAGGCAGGTTGTAGAGGTGGATACTGGGTGAGAGACTGGCGAGGGAGGGTCTGTCCGTTCACTTATTTTCTTCATTATGTAGTCGCTTAGCTGCATGCACGCCTTCATTGTGCCAACAATCAAACAAACTCGCTCGGTGGTACCTTCAGAGAATAAAACATGGCGACAACTGACACTACAAACCTGGGTAGAAGTCGTTTGCCTTGGACATTTTCAAACGCGCTCCAGTCTGTCGTTTTATTGACTCAACAGCTTCACCTCCTTTACCAATGATCGCACCGGCGGCAACACATGGTATCAGCAGTTTCAGGTGGACATCCTCTATGATAAATCAAAATAAGGTGAGGGCAGTCAGATGATAGTAAGAGAACACAGTACCCAAACGAATAATACGAATCAACACAAACCAACCAGACCAACCAGACGACAAAAATGCTGGATTGGGACAACCCGTGCTGCCTTAAGATCAAACATCGTTCTCTAACATGTTAGTTGTTTCTGTAGGAGGCAGACAAGCTGACTTTTCGACGATCAGAGATAACGCACGAATGTTGGTCACCGAAATATGTCCAAACAGGCCATCGGTTAGGTTCGAACCATGGACATCCCAATTGGTAGCTCGCAGCCTAACCAGTGGGCCCAGAAAACTTCCGCTACCTATGCCAAAATAGTCCTCCAGAAATGTACGCGCGAGTGAAAACTACCCCTCAACACCGCATAAACTATTTGTGCTCTTACACCTAGAATATTACGCACACAGAAAGTCCCAGCCTAAATGCATCACAGCGCTAACAAAGACAACAAAGGTGTAATCGATGTTTCCCAGAGTCCAGCGTCCAACACGCAGAGAACTCCAGGAAATGAGAGTATCAGTGCTTGAGCGGGAATAGTTTGGAGGTAAAGTACTAACTGCTTGCAAGCGAACAACAGTCAGGATAGCGATAATTTCCGTAGCACATACACGTATTCACAGATATCTACTACCAACTAAGAGGTCTGTGCAGTCCAGCCTGTCCGGGTGACAAGGAACTATTAGGCCTGCCATCCACCGGGTTGCATGGCTTTGAAAGCCGGGAACATTCAGATACTGCCTTATTTAGTCCACTGCACTCATGAAGGAGCACAACTCCATTCGCCATCTGTGCATGCACCGCCAAACTTAAAGTCAGACCGAGTGAGATCCTGAAAATCGTCATGAAGAGACTGGACCTTACCATGGCATGACGGCTTGTCTGCGCGGTCCAGGATAGCGATAATTTCCGTAGCACATACACGTATTCACAGATATCTACTACCAACTAAGAGGTCTGTGCAGTCCAGCCTGTCCGGGTGACAAGGAACTATTAGGCCTGCCATCCACCGGGTTGCATGGCTTTGAAAGCCGGGAACATTCAGATACTGCCTTATTTAGTCCACTGCACTCATGAAGGAGCACAACTCCATTCGCCATCTGTGCATGCACCGCCAAACTTAAAGTCAGACCGAGTGAGATCCTGAAAATCGTCATGAAGAGACTGGACCTTACCATGGCATGACGGCTTGTTCCCCTGCGCGGTCCACTGAACTATATTGCGGAGGGTCCGTGCGACACTCGCAGAGCCTCGCATACCATATGAAATGTCTGAACACTCATCATCATCGGCTGAACTGATTGACTGCTTCAGCGTTCAATCTGCAGCTGCCTTTTCTGGTCCAGATTCTAGGCGGCTTCCATACTGCGATTTTGGTGGGGTTTGAGGATGTCAGTAATTATCTAGTATTTTCAGGAATCTGACCTTCCTGACAAATACTGAATTCAATTTCAAGGCTGTATCTAAATGAACTCTCCAAGGTTGATTCCGGAAATGTGAGGACATGTTTAAAACCGACTTCGCTCAATCTAGTTCAAGGTGAGATACTTAGAACAAACCAATCTCAGTGTGTACAACCGCAATGTATCGTTGACCCTTTCGACTGTTCGTTCACCAGCGTCCTATCCACCATCCCTCCTCATCCGTCTAACGATCTACTGTGATCACTCCATCTGCCAGTACCCCAAACACGGTTCCGTGACAAATCATCACTCGGAAAAATAAACTAAAGTTAGTCCTTGGTAATGAAGACGGATGGCAATTTGGAGACTGCCACCGGTTAACGCATACCTGAACAGGGGTCCCACCCATCTCCGAGATTAAGGTAAGAGACGGAGCATTCATCCACTTTCTCATATGCCTATTCGAGTCTTGAGATGTCCGTCCTCTAGGAATTTCTCCATGGTCCCTCCTCACCATACAGTGGAGCACAACCAGTCCATAAGACGAGGAGAGTTCAATGATCACATACTCAGATCCGAAAATATCAGAACGGTTTGAGGATTGTATCTTGGGGGATCAGCCAAGTATCGCAGGACACGTGGTGGGTCACATCGCACATCGAGTTGGTCTTAAACAGGAGGGCATGGAACAAGCAATCCACAGAAGAGATCTCAGTTCATTCCTAACGTACTGAAATATCCTCCGTTCCTCCGTCCGTCGGACCAATTCAAGCAGACGGAAGACGGAAGGCACTTGGAACTGACAAACCACTTAAACAGTAATGAGCTTCGAACCACCATCTGTGCGCCGGCAGATAAACTCGAAAAGGCCATCTATGAAAAGGACCACCCCATGCGTCTTCGGTCATACCTTCCGATAAGGAATTTCACCAATTATACCACCAACACGATCGGCACGAGTGAGGAGTTACAGGAGCAGATGTGCTTATGAGCCAGCGGTGTTCTACAGCAAGTAAAGCCGAATAGTCTATCTAGTGTCCAGCACTATGTATATTTGCAGCAACCATTTGAAAACTTTTTGATGGGTTTGACAGTATGGTGAAAGTCGGCTTCCAGGACAGCGTGAGCCTTTTCTTCACTGTTCCGCAGCTCTGTTTTAATGTTCTTTTGTTTCATCCTGCTGCGGTTAATTAGGGTCATCGCAGCGATCAGCAGTTTCTTGTCGCACCCTTCAGTTTATGATATCGATTCAATGTTGAACCATTTCCTCATTCTGCGTTTCAAGGCAAAACTGCGAGTACTGTTTTGTACGTATGTAAGTACTTCGGTACGTCCGTTTGTCGTTGCAGCATACGCCCTGGCAGACTGCAGTTCTGGTGCTGAGAGGGACGACTTTAACCGAGATGTCACGAATGATTCGGTCAGCAAGGATATTACCATCCTGGCGGATGACATGAATGTCTATGTTGGGTGAATAAGCCCGGACGGAACTCAGCTTAGTCGTAGATTCGGAGTCAATGCCTGGCGAACGGATGAGGGGCAGCAACTTTTAGAGCGGTGTGCTGAAGAGAGTCTGTTCCTGGTCAGAATGCAGCCAAGTCTCTGTAGATCCTAGAACTTCGGGACTCATCATCACCAAAGAATCGTTCAGTTGTAAAACCCTTTCGGTGTCTAGCTGCTAATCCATCCAAAGGAAGCACGAGGGCTTGGATACTGACAGGTCGACAGCATATCGATGTTCAAGACGGATTCTTCGCTTCCGTACAATCATTATTTATTTTAAAGCCTGTCTTTGAAGAAATGAAGAAAAGTTAACTGGAGAAGGCACTTAGCGCTAGCTTATTACAATCAATCCGAAGAGCTTACACCTCCAGATACTTATTAACACGATCGGGATATCAACTGACAGCAGACACCATTGACATTGATTAGCATCCATAACTTGCAGCGTCTCCAACTAGGCGCAATGTGGATCACGCGGTCTCAATCCTGGAAGACGGGTGGCACACTGGGAACCCGAACGTTTCGTAATCCCTTAGATACCATTCCGACAGGTCAAGGGTTGGCCACCTCTCTGCTTCTGCCACTCTGAATTGAACACAGAAAACTGATCTAAACATAACATATTTGGCGACGCAAGATGGGGGCAGATCAACTCAAAGTAATGTCTCAGCAACAACTGCAACTCATAAAAGTAATTAGAGAGCGACTGTCAACTACATCTTTGGTTCATCTGGTGCGTCGAGCATCCCACAGTCGGTTAACAGGATCACTGGCAGTATCAACGAGTTTTGCTATGAACCCTCGGCTGGTATAACGTTTGATGCTTGACTTCGTCACTATGAAGACCTGCTTAGGGTCGACTTTCCAATTCAGGATGATAATTGGAAGGTTCAACTCCTGCTCCGCAAACTTGGACCCGAACAGCATGATTATTCACTAACTATAATCTTCCAAAGAACCCACGTGATTTCACTTTCGACGAAACGGTTCGCCCGCTTTCGCAAATATCCGGTGAGCAAACGTCAATTTTCAACATCCGCTATCGACGCCTGAAGCTGGTGAGAAGTGACGCAGACGACTTCCCTATTTATTCTGGCAACGTGAACCGGGAGTGCGAACAGTTCAAATTCGGATCGTTAACGGAAGATCAGTTCAAGTCGCTGATTTCCATATGCGGCCTACAATACCCGGAGGATGCAGAAATCCGTACCCGACTCCAGAGCCGCATCGAGCAGGACCTATCAATGACGCTGCAGGGCATCACCTTGGAATGTCAACGATTGTTTAACCTGAAGCATAACACCATAATGGTCCAACTTGGGGGTCATGGCGGTTCCGAAATTCATGCAATCCATCAGACTAAGCAACAGCCTGGTCCTGTCAATTCCGGCCCGACCAAATCGACCCCACAATATTCAGGTCCGAAGCAAAACAAAGGCTCAAAGACACCACCTCCATCATGTTAGCACTGTGGAGCCTGGTACTTCGTCAGGTTCTGTCCCTGCAAGCAGCATATAGCCGCCAATATAAGTTCGTGGGACACAAAGATGGGTATTGTCAGTCACGGATGCATACATCCAAAGTTCCGTACGCTTCCCTCTCACTGGTAGATGCCCAACTTCAACGGCTGGAACACCCAGGCGTTCTGTCCCCTGTATCCTACTCCGCCTGGGCAACGCCGATTATCGTGGTGAAGAAACCCAACGGTGACATCCGTACATGTTGCGAATTCTCAAACGGCCTAAATGCAGCCCTCCATCAGCACCACTACCCAACACGCACCACCACCAGCGCCCGACGACCTATTGACTGTTCTAAACGGTGGAAAGTTCGCGAAAATCGACATTGCTGAACTGTATCTTCACGTTGAAGTAGCATCAGAATTAGCCCACTGTTGACAACCAACACACACCAAGGGATGCAGTATTATACCCACCTCCCGGTTGGCATCAAAACCGCCCCCACATAATCCTTTCTGGCATTCCATGTTTAGTCGCATACCTGGACGACGTGCTGATCGTTGCGAATTCACCCGAAGAGCTTCTTGATCGTCTTGCTGCCGTCT